CAAATTTTAAACTTGCCTAGGCAAAACTCTTGCCTGAAGTTTCTTTGGGCAAAAGTCCAATTTCTTGTATCGGCATATATTAAAGGACAGAGGCGGATAACACAATTCTTCAGTCCTAAATATTTTTTAACGAAAATCATCGGATTATAGGTTATTCGACATAGTGAACAAAACTAATTTCTGTCCTGTATGAATCAGAAGAGGCGTTCTCGAAGTGTTAGCTACTTCAATTACTAAATCAGAAGATGAAGAGACTGTCCCGTTAGCTACCCGAGGAAAGTCAGAGGGCGAGTGAACATTGAGATGCGCATTCAATTTTTCAAAATTCTAACTTCGAATTTTCCGAGCATTTTTCTCTTCTTTGATGACTCGTACCTTGATAGAGGTTCGAGAGCGAACTCTTGAAAAAGCAACATATAGTTGTCCATGGCTGAATACTGGTTGCGGTAGAAATAGTCCTAATCGATCAAATGTTTGTCCTTGTGATTTGTTAATTGTCATAGCAAATGAGAGTCGGATAGGAAATTGATGTCTACTTAATTTAAACGGCAAAAATGGATCAGACGGTGGCAAAGTAATTCTTGGTATTAGAACTTGATTTCCTTTGTTAGATTCAGTTGCAACTTCACAATCAATCGTGTGATTTAGTAAACGTCGAACGATGAGGCGAATTCCATTGCATAGACCTTGATGAACATTGAGGTTGCGAAGAAGCATGACAAATGCACCGATCTTTAGTTTAAGTTTATGAGAAGGCATTCCTGATGGTGTAAGGCTATTCAAAAATTCTGTCGGATAGTTGGCAACATCATCACCCTTCTCACATTCTACCTTATCCACACTTGTATACATTTTTTCTATTCCGGGTAGTCGTTGAAGAACTTCTTCATTGACCAAGAGAGAATGTTCATTTTTGGGACAAAGAATTGTTCTGTTGCATAGAGTTGGAACATTTTCTATAGAAATGTGTTGGCCAAAGATCTCGTCAACCAAATTACTGTCTAACATACAGGAGCGAGGTAATTCGATTTCATCATCTTCGTTGAAAAATATTTAGGACTGAAGAATTGTGTTATCCGCCTCTGTCCTTTAATATATGCCGATACAAGAAATTGGACTTTTGCCCAAAGAAACTTCAGGCAAGAGTTTTGCCTAGGCAAGTTTAAAATTTG